TTACTTGCCGGGACCAGAACGTAACAAAAGACTTTTCATTTTTTACAAGGTGCTGTTGCTATTGTGTTTTAATTTATCTGCAGTTTTTCACCTGTTTTTTTGTTCAGTCTGTTTTTGGCTTGAGCAACTGCATTAAAGTCAGATCAAACACTGTCTGTCCATATGTGTTTGTTCACATATGGAGGTAGATCCAAAAAGAACAAAGAATAAAAATCCAGCAGTGATTTTGGAGGGAAAGAACTAAATGGTAGTGACACACCGCAGGAAATATAACATTAACCAATACAAAGGTTTTACCAGTTGCCAAGGCACACAGGCTTGTTATTGACAAGCTAATCAATTTAAATAATTTTATCAAACAAAATATGGAGCTGCAGCAAGGAAAACAGCAAATTAAGTGGAAGGACCTAAAAATTATGTTAATGTAATTAAAAGATGACCCATTATTACCATACATGGTTTATAAGATTCAAAGATTCACTGCCACTATATTTCCTTAGTGAAAATAGCAGCTCAACAAACTACTTAAAACGCCCCAAATTGCAGACCTCATGGTGGGATCCAACTCTCCATCCTTTAACAGTCATACAGTTGCCAGGGGAAAATGAACGTAGCTCCTGTTCAAAGCCTCAAGGTGACCTTCTACAGAGGAAACGCAGCACTGGGTCACCTACAGTCCAACAGTGAACAGAAGAAACCAGTGAATGAGACCTTCACCCTGAACATCACTCCCAGTAGAGAAGATGATGGAGCTCAGTACTGGTGTGAAGCCAAGCTGGAGCTGGGACCAGCTGGACCACAGCGCCCTCCAGTGGTGACATCAGAAAAACTCCCTGCTCTAGTTCACTGTGAGTCTGAGCAGTGTTGGGCAAGTTACTTTGAAAAAGTAATTAATTATAGTTACTAGTTACTTCTTCAAAAAAGTAACTGAGTTAGTAACTGAGTTAGTAACTGAGTTACAATATTCTAAAAGTAATTAATTACTTGAAAAGTAACTTTTTGCGTTACTTTAAAGAAATGTTTAACCCTCTGGGGTATAATTGGCCATTT